GGATCATATACAACTAACTATGTAGCCACATATATAGTGATCATATCGGAATATATACGTATGTGCATTATTGTTGTGGTTTTCGGTAAATAGACACATATATCAATAATTCAGTAGGTAGTGGTTAGATCTTACAATTTCATCAAAGTAAAATAATTTAAGCTGATATTTTTGTGATACGATATTATAGCAAATGTTACTTGGGAAAATAGTTATTAAAACTTGTTTTTGTCAAATTTAACATAAGCTTCTACATAATCTTACATACATAGTTTTGGTTACTATCTTTAGTAAACGTGTTAATCATACCTTTTTCTTCCTTACATGTTATTCATTATTTTCTATATATCTTTAGGAAACGTGTTAATCATGTATCTGATTTGTTATTGTGCAAAAGATTAATGCCTTGGAAATGAAGATACGATGCATTTAACAATTTTGGTTGAAGATCACTATTCAACGGGCCTTATAGCTTTTAAATTCACGCCCCATTGCGTTTATATCTAAAAAAAAAAAAAGTCGGTCGCTTTCTATATGGTTACCGTTAATTGAATCTTTTTAAATTGAGGGAAATTAAGGTTAGTTAGGTAAATTTCCTCTCTTTTTTTCTCCATATAATTACTACTATCAAGCCCACGTGAAACAATTCATATTCCAAAACCATTTTTATAGATTATCTTTACGAAAAGTACCCAAAACTCGTTTTCCCACAACTCCAAGTATTCCAAATCTACAATACGGTCCACATATAAATACATAGATTTATACGTACATGATCGCATTCACTTATATAAATACTTGGAGTTGGATCAAACATGATCACATTCACATTTTAATAATACACAAAACAAGAATCGAATAAACATGATAAGCAGCGACGACGAAGAGTGTCCGAGAGGATATCTAATTCTTAGACCGGAAGAGCTCCGGCCATCTGAACTTCTCCGTCTTTTATTCTCCGGCGATATCGAAAAGCCGAGATTAGTTGAAAGCTCCGAAACCGAAGAACAAAGTTTCCGACATCGATGGCTTATCTTCGTCTCTCTTGTCCTCCTCAAGCTTCTCCGATTTCTCTACGAGCCTTTAGCTTTCCTTGGCTCCGTCTTAGAATTCTCCTTAAACTTCATCTCCGATAACTCTTTCTCCAACTTCTTCCTCCGAGGTCTTAATTTTTATTTATTTATCCTCTATAACTATACTAAGCTATTTACGACCGGTAATTAGTTCATTTTTTATATGTAATGATAATAAATGTATTAAAAATTTATATTGATTTTGAGGATATATATGTGCAGGGGAATTGGTGATGCCGAAAAATACGTCCGAGAATTACATATCATTTATCGGACATTTAGACAGGAGAATAAGTTTAGACACAAAGATGAATCGCGAAGATGGAGACATATACTATGCTGCATTGGCCATGATGTCTTCGAAAATTGCCTACGAAAATTCGGCTCGTATAAAACATGTCGTGGAGAATCATTGGAATATGAAGTACTTAGGTCTCGATGATTATTGGAACGGTATGTATTAAATAATTAAAAGAAAACATCATCTTGTATACATTAATCAACTTATAATGTTTTGGTGTTTTTTTTTTTTGGTAAGAGTATCAAGAAAAGGAAACAACACAAGCCTTCATGATGATGTCTACTGATCATAAAGCAGCAAAAACGTCAAATGGCCAAGAAACGACGGTGGTGGTTGCATTTAGAGGTACCGAGCCGTTTAATTCGGAAGATTGGTGTTCTGATTTCGATATTACGTGGTACGAGCTCCCAAGCGTTGGGAGGATCCATGGTGGTTTCATGAAAGCTTTAGGGCTTCAAAACAATTGTAGTTGGCCAAAGAAACCTATCCCAAACCCTAATCGACTGTCCCCGTTAGCTTACTACTCAATAAGAGACTCCTTGAAAACTCTGACCGCTCAAAACGGAAATACTAAAATCGTTCTAACCGGTCATAGTTTAGGAGGAGCTCTCGCGATATTGTTCGCGGCCGTGCTCGTGATGCACGATGAGACCGAGTTGTTGCAGAGGATTCAAGGAATTTATACTTATGGACAACCTAGGGTTGGAGATTCTAAGTTTGGTGAATTTATGGAGAAGAAATTAGAGAAATATAATATTAAGTATTATAGATTCGTTTATAACAACGACATTGTTCCGAGATTACCATACGATGACAAGGATTTGATGTTCCAACACTTTGGCACTTGCATCTACTACGACCGACAATATCAAGCAAAGGTATATAATAACAATCATACTTCATTATATATATTGGACATTATTGGTAGAATTTATTCAGTTAATTTCTGATTTTTATATAAATGTTTTACTAGGTTTTGAGAGAAGAACCAGACGAGATGTATTTTTCGTTGAAGGGTATTATAAGATTGATGTACAATGCTGTGTTGGAGTTTATGAGAAGCTTCACGATTGTGACTGAGAAGGGACCTGAGTTTAGAGAAGTATGGTTGTTGAAGGTTATTAGGGTTTTGGGGATTATATTCCCTGGGGTTTCGAATCATACACCTCAAGATTATGTGAATGCTACTAGATTAACTCCTTCTTATGTTTTCCAAATTCATGAAGATAGAAATGTATCCATAACATAAAGGGTTTTGAGTTTTTTGTGTGCAAGTGTGGATATTTTATCGAATTTGTGACTATTTATAACTGTGATTGCTGAATAAAATGATTATATGATAATGTACCAGTTATTCAGGGAATCTATATAAAATGTTTACAGGGGAAAATCTGTAGAACTAATAATGTATGGAAATATTTAATAACTAAATGTACTGGGTGCGTCTGATTATAAAATAAATTATCATGCAAGTATGTAAATCAATAAGATTACCAGGCATTTATGTAAATAACCAAATAATATCGGATACATATGTAAATAAGCTAAAATATTGGAAGGGGTGTAAATAAGTGAAGATATCTGATATACATGTAAATAACCAAAACGGTTCGGATATGTAAGGAATAACCAAAAGTATTAGCTACTTGTGTAAATAATTAAAAGTTATCGGGGGTATAAATTCTCTTGTTCGTATCCAGTTTAATAGGTTTGGGTTTAGTTTAAACGGCCCTTTAGTGTTTGGCCCAATAATATCCTCAATATAATATTGGCTTAATAAAAACACAATCGTTGAATTTACTTTTATCAAATAATAAATCGTGTGATAATATTGTGATGATGTAAAATACACAAAATTGTATTTATAGTTAATTTATTATTTATGATAAAAAAAATGAAAGACGTCAACCTAAAGATGAAATTTAGTGGCTTAAAATGGGGATAAGAAAGGAAAAAACTTCAAAAATAATTGACGATTTAATTTTATCCATTCACAATCCTTAAAAATCCACCGCATGCACTTATAACGTCACATTCAAAATTATTACGTAACACAAAAAAATATAATAAAATAAAGTTTATTTACTCAATTTCTAATGGCGGAGAGAAAAGAGATGTCACTATCCAAACCGATATTTGTAAGGCAGTGTTAGAGAGAGAGATGAAGTGTGAAGCGGTGGTGTTGCCACCTG